TGTCAATAGGAATGAAAGCCCCTTGTCCAGAGTTAGCATTTTGGGAACACAGAACAAGGACACAAACAGTAACATTTCTGAAATGAGCACTTGACACCCATGGCAATGGCCCGAGGGGCAGTCCAATTGCTTTATTGAGGGAGGACACTGACGGGGAGAGGGATGGGGGTAGGGGTGGGGGTGGGGGTGGGTGGGTAAGCATTAGTTGCCGCCTGACAACCACTGATGGAACAGTTCAGCCAGCCTTGGTTGGTGTGGCCTGGGAGGGGGAGATTACAGGTTAGGGATGCTCAGCCAATCAAGGCCTCTGATTGGCTGAGCTGTCTTAAGTACGTTCTAATTGTGCTGGGAGGACTGCGGCTTTGTGCCAGCCAAGGTTCACTATTTTAAACTGTGTCACATGATTTGAAAGGATGGCTTTTGGTCCTCCTCCTCAACCCTTGCATTATGTAAATCGTTAAGACAGTTATCCTGTGAGTTTCCCTAAGTTCCTGGCTGTTAAAAAAAAAAAAGAAGGGAAGGAAACATAAAAAAAATAAGATGCCTCTTTCTGGCAGACTGGCACTGCAAGAGGCTAAGAGTCTTAGAGCAGTGCCTCAATCTCTCAGTTTTCCTAGCTGGAGAAGGCAGGCTAGCAGCTCCACTATGGAACCCCAGCATTTGCGTGGGCCTTGAAAGATCACTGTTTGTTACAGTGTGGCGTGTGGGTGGCGGCTCCTCTGGCCTTGCTCTCTAGAAGGGAGGTTGGAAGCCAGGTCATTAGGAAACTTGAAGCAACTGTCCTCAGAGAAGGCCCTCAGCCTCTCAGGTGTCAGTTAGGACAGGGGCTGCTGAAACCTGTTTCTCAGGAGGGACCCAGCCCCGGCAGTGACACCTGGTGCCCTCAAGCCATTGGCCAGGGGATAGTATTTTCGTATTTTATGTATGTGCATGTGTGCAGGTGCTCATGGAGGCCAGAAGAGGGCATCAGGTCCCCCTGGAGCTGGAGTTACAGGTGACCTGATGTACAGGTGTGGGTGTCAGCTGGGAATCAAACTTGGGTCCCCTGCAAGAGCAACAGGGGCTCTTTGTCTCCGAGCCGTCTCTTACCACTGACGGGAGATCTTTAGTCAGATGCTGTAACGTCCATCTCTTCTGGACAGAAACCTTCATGTCCCTGTGGGCCCTGAAATTAGTATGTAGAAAATGATGGTGAACCGCGTACCAGAATATACTTTAAAGGGCGTTGTTAGACGAGCCGCCAACTCAGATTCCTGTTGAGACACGTTCCTTATTTTCCAGAGTCGCTTTAACCTTCTAGGGAGAGCCTTGCCTTCCTTCATTGACTCTGATGCTCCCTTTCTGCTCCAAGCCCCTCCCACAGCTCTCTCTGAGATAGGGCCTCACGCCCATATCCCAGGCTGAGCACAAACTCCTGGCAAGCCTCCTGCCTCCACCTCGGGAGTGCTGCTGGCATCACAGGCTTGAGTCACCACATTCGTTTAACATTGGGCCTCTTAGTGCATTTTGTATTAGCCAATGACACTGGAACCGCCAAGCTGGTGTTTTGTGACCCTGCTTCTGGTCCTCATGAACCTCATAAACTTCTAGTTTTTCTAGTTCAGTTATTTGCATGTCTGTTCTCTGCTGTCCAGATTTTGTGTGGTTACTGGGACACTCAGAATGGTGTGCCTGCATGCTCCCAATGCCCTCTGCGTGGCAATTCAGAGGCCAGGGCTAGATGAACATATCCTCTAATCTTACTCCCCTAGTGCCACAGGCCAACCCGTGTGGGCTCTGCTGCCTGAGTTGAATGGTATGCGAGCAGAACCGTTGGTACTCGGTGTAACCAGGCAACCAGGCTCAGGACCTGTGGTCTCAATGAGCACCAGGCTGCTATACTGAGATGCCATGAGCATGTAAGCCATCTGGTGTTTGGTGAAGCAGGTGTCCCCATTTCTGAGGCTGGAAGCAGTTCCCAGAAAGGACGACAATCTACCTGGACAGAGCTGGCAGCCTGTGGACATCAGTCCCACAGGCCCAGCATTACCCCATGGGCTGTATAACTAAGCAAACCGACACAATGGTACTTGTGGTTGCTCCTGGAGAGCCCTGTTTACCACACAGTTTAACTCCTTTCCTGTGTTCACCACTGCGGCTTCTTCAGAAGGACAGATATGGCGGAGACTTTAGCACTGAGAATTAAAGGGGGAGCAGACAGTGTGTGGGGCCTGGAGGTGGGGGTAAAGAGGATGCATGGTGGGTGTGTGGTCCCGGGCCAGCCTGGGTGTTTTCGTCTCTCGCTTACAAGGCCTGATGAGACGTGTGACCTGCATTCAGGAGGGTGGCTCAGCTACCAAAGTCACGTGTCACTCTGAAGATGTGCAAGTGGGCACGTAGAGTTTTGACAATGTGAGCGTATTCTATAAGGATTGCACTGGTGTTGTGACATTATATCTAAAGTTATGGAAAGGAGCGTGCTTATAAAAAGGACTTGGAAAATACTTTCTCTCTTTGAGGTTAACTGTCATGAAATGAATTGCAAAACATGAAAAATATGGGGGGGAAAAGGTGAGTTTGGAGATACTGTTCAAGAGTCGAACAAGCATTCAGGAGAGATGTCTCAGCAGCTGAGAGAACTTGCTGCCCCTTCCAGAGGACCTGAGTTCGGGGCCCAGCACTTCCATTGGGTGGCGGTTGACACCTGCTTATAACTCTAGTTCCAGGGGATCTAATGCCCTCTGACCCTTTGAGGCACCTGCACACACATGACGTACACCCACATAGACACAAAAACATAAATAGAAAGTTAATTCTTTTTTTTAAGAGTTGAACGAGATCAAAGAGATTTAAAAACTGGAGAAAAAAAGTCAAAAGGAAAAGAAAACATATTCCTCACTGACGATGCACTCAGCATCTTTCAGTTTGGCTAGCTGCCCTTGCCGTAGGGGACACGACTGTGGCTCTTGCGTGTTGCATGAGGAAGCAAGGGTTGCTCAGAGCTTTGGCTGGGCGTAGTGTGCTCTCTGGAGCTGGACCAGAGCTGTCAGACGCAGTGGTAGGGTACTACCGGTGAGTCAGCCTTCAGCCCCAGGACATCAGAGAAGTAAGAGATGCCAAGACCCTTCTCGGGAAGCAGAAGCAAGGTGATGTTGTTCAGAGGAGGGATGTGGAAAGTACTAGGGGCGAGAAATAGGGAGGAGTGGATACCAGCAGCCGGGGATAGCTTGGGGCTGTCTGCATTGACCTGCCTGCCACCATGGAGCTCTTCTCTAGCCAGCACAGCCAAGCTGTCACCCGTGGAAGCCAGGGAGAACAACAGGAGGTGGTCATGATGTCCCACTGAGCACTGGTCCCACCCAGCTCCCTCTGCTGAGAACCCGGGCCAAAGCCTGCCTTCCTTTACTTTTTGTCTCCCCTGTCTTGTAGCTTTAGTGCCTGGAGAAGTTAAAGGAGAAAGACGTGGCCCCCGGGGAAGGGAGCCAACAGCCAAGTCCCCAAGGGCTCACACGTGTCACTTGGGGGACTATGGCTGGGATTTCGAAGATCCTCCCTCTCCTGGGGTCCTCCTCACGGCCCTCAGCGGGAGCTGTGGACCATTGTGGTCGCTGGTCATGCTGGCGTGGACACTGCTGGATCTGCCAGAGCCTGAAGTGTGTGGATTATCCTGGAGGGAGAGAAGGAGAAGGAAGGAGAGGAAACGGAAGAGGGTTGCCAGCTGGGGCGAGGGGTGGGGAGTACGGGGAGTGTCCGCTGCTCAGGAGGGATTCCTACCTCTGCTGGCCGTCTTCTTAGATGTCAACTTCACAGCGGACTCCCAGGCAGATGACTGTGCCATTCTTGCCTGTCCGAGGTGGGGACAGGGTGACAGGTGACCTAGCGATTGATTAAAGATGGGGAGGAATGAGATGATAGCAGATCAAGCCCGGGCTGGTAGCAGGTACTGCTCAGCCTGGCCATGAGGCAGTCATGGTGCTGGCAGCCTTGTGTTGGTGAGCGCCGAATGGCAGTCTTGTTGGTATAACTCATGTGAGGAGGAGCTGTGCCTGGCATGGGAAGCACTGGCTTCCACAGACTCCTGCTTCCTTCTGAATTGCCGCCAGCCCCTCCCTTCTCCATCCCTCTCCCCTTTTTCTCCTTTTCTCCCCTCCCCCAATAAGATACTTCTCCCTTGATTTCACTGTGCTGTGGTCTGGGACTCTTCCAGCAGAGCTCCCTGGTCCCTGGCAGAGGGCACTCTGCCTGAAGCCCTGCTGGCCTTGCTGTGCCAGAGAGCAATGATTGGCTGTTGCAGCATGGGAAGGTCAGGTGGGCCTGGAGCATCACCGGGCCACGGTCCTTGGGTTGGCTTTCTTACCAGACCTCAGCCCTTTTCTGCTCTGTGACTTTAGCCATAAAGTGTCACTTCCCTGTCAACAGAACAGGAAATTGCTTTATTATTATGCTAAACTGCCACCTTGTTTGGTTATGAGGAATGGTTAATGAAAATGATTGCTTCGTAGCACACAGAAGACAAAGTGCCAGGAAACGCTCAGTCAACGGGCTACATAATTTGTGCGGTTATTAGGGACAATTTGTGACTTTTTAAAAGTCTAGTGGGTCCAAATGTCAGAGGAAGAAAACATTAGTTAAAGCATCCAGGATTGACGAGTTTAGAGGAGAGAAAAATCCAAAGGGCTTTAAACATTTCCACAGTTTCAATCATTCCGTCTCTTAGCACGTCCCTCTTTGTACCCTGGGGTACCTGCTGGTTGGCTCTCTTCCACAGAAATGTCCCTGCTCAAATCAGTACACACAGGGGAAGTCCTCCCCCTAAACACACACACACACACACACACACACACACCCCACACCAAGGTGTCACAGTCCTCATTTCAAGCTCTCTGTTCTGCTTGAATCCCCTGTTAAAACAAAAACAGTATTTGAAAAAAATGTTTGGGATATCAACAGGCCCAGAAAGGTCTAGACAAGTATGTAGAGGGATTAAACTTTTGTTGTTGTTGTTGTTTGGAAACAGATGTGAAGTAGAAGATGGAGAGAATCCACTCTGACTTCAGGGGACAGGATCAGCTTGATGGAGAACTCACTGTCATTCACACATTCATTACCCGCTTACAGATCAATACGGCAGGTAGGTGGGTAAGATGTGAGCTCTTGGGATGATTTCAGTGTTCCAGAAGCCTTTTCACAAAGTGCACTTATTACATGGGTCCAAATTATAAGCATTTGTGAAACTAAAAGAGAGAAAAAGTACTTTGATTTCATTTCCAAATTCTACAATTTCTTTAGACTGGCATGCATGGATCTGTCAGGGAATTAGAAGCCCTGGGTTCTGCAGTAAGAGTAGGGAGGCCATGTTCTTGAGATGTCCGAGGTCAACTTCTCACATGAGAGTTGGTCCTCTGCTTTTACAGGCTACACATCTGCAGGGCCCAACCATCTGCAGGTGGGAAATTATATTGCATTGTTCATATACTACTGACTACAGACTCCCCCTGCCCAATTATTCCTTAAATAGAACAAAATTCTATTCGCATATCACTCATAATGCATTACGAATAATGTAGAGATGGATCAAAGCACATGGGGGGTGTGCAAACGCTGAACACTGTGTACAGAAGACTTGGACATCTTTGGAACCTGGAACATCCCCCTTGGATAGCCAGGACTGACTGGCTATACTTGGCTTTCATCAAAGCAATTGCTGAAAGGCAGGCTTTGTGAAAACATGATGTCACCAGAGGAATGGAGAACTGTAAAAGTGAGCTATGGTACAGTGCAACAGGCTGCTTGTTTTGGGGCAAGCATGGCCACACATCCCTTGAAAATGGAGACAACCTTGAGGTATCCTGGGACTTCACAGTGGCTCGAAACTCGAAGCTGTCTTACTGATCTCACATATCATCCATTTTTCCTTGGATTGGGGCTTGCCCTTATATATTTTTGCTTCTTATTTTTCAACAGATTGGGGTAGAAATAAATTGGCTGCATCCCCAGAGGTAGCCGGAGGAACACCGTCTTAAAGGATAGTTAAAAACGAACAAATTGCCAGGGTGGAGGGGACTCATGCCTTTAATCCCAGCACTGGGGAGGCAGAGACAGGTGGATCTCTGTGAGTTCGAGGCCAGCCTGGTCTACAAGAGCTAGTTCCAGGACAGGCTCCTCAACTACAGAGAAACCCTGCCTCTAAAAAACAAAAAACAAACAAAAAACCCAAATAAACAAAAAATATCATTAATAACAAAAAGATAAGACATAAATAGAGACGATTCCCAAAATATGAAATTATGATCCAATCAATAAAACCAACTTTAGCAGTAGTAAGCACTGTAATATGTCCAGTTTGGAAAAAAGTGAATTTGTTTTTTCAGGATCTGGAGCATTTGTTTAATCATATCTTCGGAAACATGACAAAAAGATTATTGCACTGTAAGAGGAAAGGTCGGTTGTATTGCATACAATAACTGAGCACGGTGCTGACCTGACTTTCCCCTTTGTCGGCAGAGCTTCCTGGTGTCTCGGCTCTTTCCCTCCCACCTACTTCCTTCTTCCCCCTTTCCCTTCCTGTCTCCACATCCTTTCTTTTCCGGTTCTATAGACCTTGGAGGCAGACACAGCCCTGTTCTCCAGACTTGGAAATCCCCAGATTTCCACTTCATGACCCAAGGCTCCTTTCAACTACCCTACTCCTAAAAGACTAGGTCACCAGAGTAATTTTTAAATCTTTATTATGTGTTTGGAACATGGAATCCAGACTCTTAAGAGAACTTCAAAGAGTGTTTAAGAAGAAAGAAAACAATAATAGTAATAATAATAAAATATACCCAACCAGCCAGCCAAACAAACAAAAAATGGAGAAAACAAAACCAAACTCACCCAGAGTGGTGAAACAATTGTTTCTTGCTGCATTCACTAATTGGAGTATTGATGCTAGAGAAACTTAGAAATTAGAAACTTTCATGGAATTTAGTCTTGGCTTTGCCAGAAGGAATTATGCAGAGTGTAATTAATTTATCCTGGGCTTGTTGTGATTACTCCTAATCTCGTCTGGTCCTGACCAGCGATGCGCGATGAGGCAGAGAGGGAAAGAACATTCTGAACGCATAGCCCAGGGAGTGGATTCCTTTTATAAGGAAAGAAAAAGTGCCTGGATTGTTACAAAGCTGTTTTCTGAAAGTGAAGTGTGTCGGGGAGAGTGGAGGGTGATGGAGGAGAGGAGCCGAGCCCCTCTCGGATGCAGGGGCTCCTCGCTGAAGAGGGTGCTGTTACTTCGCTCAAGCTTACTGGCAAGTGCCTCCCAGGGAAAATCACTGTGCCCTCTCTCTTTCCACGTGCGGGCATGTGCTGCAGGGTAACTTTTGAGGGGAAAGCAGGGAAGATAATGTTTATGGTGCCTGATGCCCAGGAGTGCCTGAGGGTTGCAAATTTTAAAAGTCCATCCAGGCAGGAGAAACCTTCCAAAACAAAGTACACACACAGACACACACACATTCACACTCACACATGCACCCACATACACATGCACACACATACTCACACTCACACACATACACACACAGAAAAAAACAACAATAAAAACAGGGGCTGAAGAGATGGTTCAGAGGTTAAGAGCACTGGCTGCTCTTCCAGAGGTCCTGAGTTCAATTCCCAGCAACCACATGGTGGCTCACAACCATCTACAATGAGATCTGGTACCCTCTTCTTTTGTTCAGGCATACATGCAGGCAGAAAGAACACTGTTTACATAATAAATAAAAATGTAAGAGATCTTGTTTTGTTTTTTTAAATGGTGCATTTGTGTAGCAACTGTGATGTTCACCGGTTAGTTGGGCACACAGGAGGTGGTGCATGTCCATCCCTGAACCGGGGTGCAGCCAGGCAATCAGAAGCTTCTAGTGTACAGGTCATACGCAGGTGTGGTTCTCGTCCACCATGGTGATGTTGACATACCAGCTGCTCACTAGCCAGATCCCAGATGGCAGAGCCAGCATCCCAGCTACCCCCTTCACCAGAAGGAATGAAGAGCAGTCATCTGTTTATTTCAGATGTCTCCCTTCACCAGAAGGAATGAAAAGCAGTCATCTGTTTATTTCAGATGTCTGGGCAGTTGTTTGTTACAGTGGCAAAATATATTCTTATCCCAACTAGCCCAGAGATTTGTACCAGAAGTAGGGCACTACAGTTCAGCAGTCAGTCGGTGAGAAGAAAGGGAAAGATTACGGGGCTGAAGAAGTGCGGGTCTTTGTTATTTTAGATAAAGCTCCAGAAACAGATCTTCTTCCATAGCTGGTGTCTAAGTTATCATTGCTGTGATAGAAGTCAATAACCGAACCAACTTGGGAGGGAAGGGTCGATTTGGCTCACACTTCCACATCATTGTTCATCACTAAGGAAGTCGGGACAGGAACCTAGAGACGGGAGCTGATACAGAGTCCATGGAAGGGTGCTGCTTACTGGTTTGCTTCGCATGCCTTGCTCAACCCGCTTTTCTATAGAACTTAACCTAGGACCATTAACCCATGATCGGCACCACCCGCCATGGGCTAGGCCTTCCTTCGTCAATCACTAATGAAGAAAATGCTCTACAGGCTTGCTTATGGCCCAGTCTTATGGAGGCATTTTCTCAATTGAGGTTCCTTTCTCTGCCATAGATGACTACAGCTTGTGGTAAGTTGACATAAAACCCAGCTGATACAACAGGGGAATTGGGCCTTGGCTGTCATGTGTCTTCAGAGGCATAAGTCCCAAACAAGACATTCGTACTGGGGCAGCCATAACAAAATCACCATAACTGTCACTTGAAACAACAACAGTTTGCCCTCTAATGGTTTTGGAAGGCCAGAGGACCAAAACGCATGTGTGGGCCAGCAAAGCCACTTAAGGGATTCCCTCCCTTGTCCCTGGTTTTTTATTAATCCTTGCCATCACTGGTTTGTAGCCTCATCACTCCTGGGTCTGTCTCATTGTCACATGATGTTTCCCGGTGACTGAGTCTTTCTGTGACCTCTTCCCCGTTGGTGTCTCTGATTCCTTGCTTACAAGGACTGCAATGATGGGTTTTAGGATCACTAACCCACAATGAGCTCGTTTTAACTAGAGTTCATCTCAAGACATCGTTCCTCAAATAGACCACATGGACGGACACGGAGAATTACAGCATCCACTTTTCCTTTTGAGAAACCTGATCGAGCCCTAGCAGCGGGCATTGTCCATGACTGGCAAAGCAGCACAAGAAAGAGAGAAGCCCAGAAAAATCACTGGCTAATTTGCAAGTGCAAATCAAGGGCCAGAAGCAACCAATCCCGGCACTTGTCAGACTAGAAAAGACAATTGCTTCTCCACTCCAACGAGCAGGAAACTTGGAAATGCTTGCAACCGCAGAGATAGTTTGGCTCTGTGGTCCTTCCACCCACGTCGGTGAAGGATGTGGTCCTGTACGTACTGTTGAAGCCTCTTGCTGGACCAGTGTGGAGGGGAATGATTAGGCTACCTCAGCCAGTGGTGCCTTAGAGCGGACAGAGCGGCTCCTGAAACAGGTGGAGAGGTTGATTCTCCAGCATCTCCAGAAGATAGGCCAGTGGGGGGGAGCACAGGCCAGAAGGTGAAGGAGCAGCGCTCTCACTAGGGAGGTCAGAGGGTGACTGGGGAGCACTTGGTAGGTTTGGCTTTGAAGACCAACTGAGTGGCAGACAGCTGGAGCAGGTTTTGAACACATGGCCCCGGAACTGCTCACCTTAGCTTCGAGGAAGGAGAATGTCGGTCCTCATCTTCCTTCTCCTTTTGTGTTTCCTTTTTATTAACTGGGGACCCTAGCCTGTGGGATGGTCTCCCCTGGAAACACCCTTCTACACCCCCAGAGGTCTGCCTCTTTAGTGGCCCGAAGTTCCTTAATCCTGTTGTGCTCAATCACAGTAACCATCACATGCCACAGGAAAGGGGACCTCTGAGCTTTATGTCACTGAGAGCTCCTGTGCAGGGACTATGACAGCATGACCTAGCCTGACCTAAACAGAACAGCCCCAAGACCCAAGTAACACCAATGTGAAGTACAGCAGGAAAGTTTCAGTGGGCCAATTGACAGTTATGAAGACCCACTCTCAAAATGAAAGCGATTTTTCTTGAGTAGCTTTG